TACAACAAACCTAACCTAATCCAACTGCTTCACTCAGTTAAATACTTCGAGGTTCGAGTAGATGTATTTCTTTACTTTTTTCTCTCTCTCTCTCTCCCGTTTCCTTTATCGTGCTCTATCTCTGTCTATTTCCTTTGCATCTCTCCATTCGATTAATAAAAAAAAGTTACAGAGAGAAGAAACGAAAAAAGAATTTTCTTTTAAATACAACGAACTTAATCTAATCCAATTGCTTCATTCGGTTAAATACTCGACTCGATTTCTATCTTATTTATCTCTCTATTCTCAGTATTCATTATTAATAGATTATGGAGAACAGACAAAAAAAAAATTTTCTATAGAAAAGACTTTTTAACTTTTTCTATCAACTTTTGTCTTCCTATCGAAAAAATTACTACTAGAGATATTAATAAGAAATGATATTAGATAACAAGATCTAAATATTTTACACGCAAATAATTGTGATCAAAGTGATTCAACGAAAGTTTTAGTTTTAAAGACAATTTCAACCAATTTGACAATTCTAATGATAGATCGTTCTTTGCTACTTTCTTTATCGTATCCTGCTTCGTCTATTACATTATTCTTTGCATCCTTCTTCCTATTTGGTATAACAGGCTACGGAGAAACAAAAAAAAAAATTTGCTTCGGATACAGGGCAAGCATTAACCTCACGACCGACCATGCTCTCTCTACAAAGGATATTGATTTTCCAACGTTTAAGTTCTTCCCTGTCCCGTGTGTCGCTTCTCATGATAATTCACGGATTGATAGATACGCGTTTGGACCGTTCATCGATCACGTGTTTTTCAATGGAAAAATTTCACGGATCCTTCTTACTGTTTCAACGTATCAAACGTTTTAATCGTTATCGTATCGTTATAAAAATTGTAATACAATTGAATTATGATTTTCTTTTCTTTTTTTTTTTAGAATATAAATTAACTTAATTTCTAGGTAACGTATACTTTTCGATAACTAAATATAATTAATAATATATAAATCAAAAATGATATAAATAAAAAAATCTTCCTCCCGTGGAAGAGCATTGAAATATACTCCGATATCTTTAATTTCTGTTCATCAAACAGAATCAACAAAATATTCATTACGTATCATTCGATCTTCATGCAGAAGAATTACACATCCACATCTAATCAGATCACATTACACATGGCTCGATGATTGAAAATTGGCCAACGGGTCATTTTCCATTCTATTTCATCCAGCGGGTAAATGTCGCTGTCGTGAGACGTGTCGTATCGCATCGAATCTGGAAAAAAAAAAAAAAAAAAAGAAAGAAAGAAAAAAAAATCTGACATAAATATCCTGGAAAATCAATCGATTGATGCGGAGCAATTAATCAAGTCGGGCCACTGACAAAATGATGGTTCATAGAAGGGTTTTCAGCGTTCTTGTCTCGAGCAAGATCCGCGAGATTGAAATGGCAGAGCGCCAGTTCTAATTTATTGGCCTTGTAGGTACTTTTAATACATGAACTTTTGGCCGATTTTTGGCCCGGAAAAAGGGGACGAAGGGTGTCTTCTCTTCTGTCGAGAACACACACCGGATGCTCCCCCTCCTCCCAAAGCCGTTTCCACCTTTCTCCAATTTCCACCCTCCATTCTCCTAATCCCTCTTCCTGCATATCCCACAGCCAATCGCACGAATCCTCGTTTACGCAAATTAATTCGCACTATTGAAATCAATGACAATGTTTAATTTATGCGAAATGTACGTACGATTATATGGAAGTTCACACAAGAGGGAACGAAATCAATTCTAGAATCGTGTTATTTTTCTTTGTTTCTTAAAATGTATCTTCGTAATGCTGTGATTTAGATAAAGCAAAATTTTGAATTATACGAGAGAATATGATTGTGAGAAAAATTAATATTCATATAATTCATCATGTAAAATAGATACTATAGTTAATGTTCATTTTGTTATAAAGAATATTTATCAATTCCTCTTCACACTATCATTTATCAATTCCTCTTCACACTATCATTTATCTATTCCTCTTCACACGATTATTTATCAATTCCTCTTCACATGGAAATTTATCAATTCCTTTTCACACGGAAATTTATCAATTCCTCTTCACGCGATCATTCATCAATTCCTCTTCACACGGAAATTTATCAATTCCTCTTCACGCGATCATTCATCAATTCCTCTTCACACGGAAATTTATCAATTCCTCTTCACGCGATCATTCATCAATTCCTCTTCACACGGAAATTTATCAATTCCTCTTCACGCGATCATTCATCAATTCCTCTTCACACGGAAATTTATCAATTCCTCTTCACGCGATCATTCATCAATTCCTCTTCACACGGAAATTTATCAATTCCTCTTCACGCGATCATTCATCAATTCCTCTTCACACGGAAATTTATCAATTCCTCTTCACGCGATCATTCATCAATTCCTCTTCACACGGAAATTTATCAATTCCTCTTCACGCGATCATTCATCAATTCCTCTTCACACGGAAATTTATCAATTCCTCTTCACGCGATCATTCATCAATTCCTCTTCACACGGAAATTTATCAATTCCTCTTCACGCGATCATTCATCAATTCCTCTTCACACGGAAATTTATCAATTCCTCTTCACGCGATCATTCATCAATTCCTCTTCACACGGAAATTTATCAATTCCTCTTCACGCGATCATTCATCAATTCCTCTTCACACGGAAATTTATCAATTCCTCTTCACGCGATCATTCATCAATTCCTCTTCACACGGAAATTTATCAATTCCTCTTCACGCGATCATTCATCAATTCCTCTTCACACGGAAATTTATCAATTCCTCTTCACACGGAAATTTATCAATTCCTTTTCACATGGAAATTTATCAATTCCTCCTCACACTATCATTTATCAATTCCTCTTCACACGATTATTTATCAACTCCTCGATTTTATAAAAAATATTACCATTTTAACAAATTTTCATCCGATTGAAATTAAAATAATATATATATAAAATTTTGAATTATTTGAAAAAACATACTTTTGAGAAAATTAATATTCATATAATTCATTATGTAAAATAGATACTACAGTTAATGTTCATCTTGTTATAAAGAAATTTATCAATTTCTCTTCACACGATTATTTATCAATTCCTCTTCACATGGAAATTTATCAATTCCTCTTCACACGATTATTTATCAATTCCTCTTCACACGATTATTTATCAATTCCTCTTCACATGGAAATTCATCAATTCCTCTTCACACGGAAATTTATCAATTCCTCTTCACACTATCATTTATCAATTCTTCTTCACACGATCATTCATCAATTCCTCTTCACACGGAAATTTATCAATTCCTCTTCACATGGAAATTTATCAATTCCTTTTCACACGGAAATTTATCAATTCCTCTTTACACGGAAATTAATCAATTCCTTGATTTTATAAAAGATATTTCCATTTTTTCTTTTTTTTAAAAAAATTTTCATCCGATTGGAATTAAAATAATATATATATAACATTTTGAATTATATGAAAAAACATACTCTTGAGAAAATTAATATTCATATAATTCATTATGTAAAATAGATACTACAGTTAATGCTCATCT